TCCTAAACTGGCGAGGGCGCCGCTGATCATAAGCATCGGCGTGCGAGCCTGAACCGAGGACGAACCTGCGGGCCAGGGAGGGTAAAGCCTCCCTGGCATGCCTTTGCGGCCTGGACTTAAGTGCGTCCTACACGACGTTGGCGTAGCTATCATATAGTACTACGCCCAGATCGCTCACCATCGTCTACGGGCGTGCCCTCTTGGAGACCCTGCCGGCAGACCCACAAAAGTGGGGCTACCCCTGCATTTTGCTGCCCATCTGAGAACTAGCCCCCTTGGAACCTTCAACCCTATAATACAATTGAGAATAAGCAAGGGGGGGTAGGGCGGGGCACCATAGCGGCGCAAGGGCGAGCGGCCCGGGTGCAGCGAGCCACTCTTACTATGCACCCACCCTCAACCCGAACCCAAACCCTAATCGGCCCTAATCCCACCGTGCACCCGGTTAAGGGTTCAGGGGTTCGGCTCGTCATCGGAATTTGGCTGCGATGACTAGTGGCTGCTCTGGTTGTCTGACGCTGATGGATCGTTGTTTAGGGTTTAGGGTTTAGGGTTTAGGGTTGATTCAGGGTTCAGGGTTTAGGGTTTAGTCTTGTAGCAGCTCCTGTATTCGCCTTCCTCTCTCTCTCTCTCTCACTCAGAGGTCGGGATGCTGTACGCTGTGAATCTCAAACGCAGGGCCCGCGGCATGACTTGAAGAGATCCGAAAAGCGTACCTGAGCGGAGCCCTTCGAGGAATGAAAGATATAGTAGGGGCCACTCCAAAATGCCAGTCTTTGTTGCAAGGGATTATGCAAAGCATGGTAAAGGTGACTAAGCACCCACATGCTTGACTCGGGTCGATGAGCCCCTAAACCCTACACCCTAAACCCTAAACACTAAAGCCTCCAATCCTTAAACGGCGAATGCAAGCTGGAGATCAAAGATGTTGGGCAATGGTGTTACTAAGACTGAGGAGGATGTCGGTTGTAGGGGTTTAGGGTTTAGGGTTTAAAGTTCCATACAGCCAAGAACCGGGGGGGAGGGGACTGAGGCCAGGGTGTAGGGTTTAGGTTGTGCCAGGGATTATGAATAGAGAGGGAAGGTGGACTGAGAAATGCCTGAGGCTTAGCGGTTCAGGATATTCGCTACAAGGAGGCCCTCCCCGAGACCGTAGCTGAGGGACTTAAGCCCTAACCCCCAAAACCCAAACCCCAAGTAGGAGTACCTGTAAGCCTGTTTAGGGTTTCCCACTCTCGCCTTGACTGCCTGCACACGAAACGCCTCCCATGCGCTTGAAACCTTTTGAGTCCAGAAACAGCACAGACCCTAAGCCCTAAACCCTAAACCCTAAACCCCAAACACGCAAACCCTAAACTCATGTGGGGCCAGCCCAAAGAAGACACCCAACCGAACAAGACGCTATGCAAAGCCACGACTCCCCCGACTCCCCACCCAAAAGGACACAATAGCACCATTACAAGCATACATGTAAGAATGTGTATCCATACATACATACATACATACATACATACATACATACATACGTACATACATACATATATATATATATATGTGTTGCGTACAAAACATGTACTGATACTTATAAAAGAATGAAAACAAATCGGGCAAGAGGTTCCAACAGGAGCACGCTTCTTTTTTGGAACTTCTATGCTTTTTGTTTGCCCTTATTTTTTCTTGGGGAGGTTAGGGTTTTAGGGTTGGGGTTTAGGGTTTAGGGTTTAAGGGTTTAAGGGTTTTAAGGGTTAAGGGTTTGGGGTTTTGGGGTTTAGGGTTAGAAAGAAAAATAGCTGGTTTTCCTCTGTTTTCCACCAGAAAATAGGACCCCAAACCATCTCTCCCCCCCCCAAAAAAAAAAACTTCCAAGAGTTCCAAAACGAGCTCCCCGAAGCCAAGGCGAGTGGCAACTTGCCCGCGGCAAAAGGACTGCTGACCTCCAGGGCACCAAGGGACCAGGTGTTGTGGGTTGAGGGTTGAGGTACACTTCTCGACTTGTGGGTTGAGGGTTTAGAGTTTAAGGTTTAGGGGTTCACAGGGTCCTCGCCACGGAACTGCGGAGTTTTGCTGTAGGGTGGACAAATACTCGACAGGTGTAAATCCCAAGTTGGGGAGATGGCAATTTACCGGCAGAGCTTAGAGTTAGTCGGATTTAACCAACCCTGAACCGTAAACTCTGAACTCAGGCTTCCCTTTTCAGAGTTTTTGGTTGAGAGTTTAAGGCGAGGACCCAGAGTAGGCCCTTGTTCCATTTTTTTTGGGGGGGGGGGGAAGAAGGGGGGGGGGGGGGGGGGGGGGGGGCAGAAAGAAGGGGAAAAGGGGGCGGGGAGGGGGGCGGGGGAGGAGGGGGGGGTGGAGGGGGGGGGAGGGTCCAGTTACAAGAGAGCGCCCTTTGTATAGTCTTGGGTTTGGAAAAATCTTAACCCTGAACCCTGTACCCTAAACTATAGATGCCCTACTCCTAGGTTCCTCTTGGGTCTCGCAGACTGTATGGTCTTCAGGTGGTTTAAGTCCATGGGGCTGTAGCAGGCATGGACCACCAATAAGCGACCCATGGTTTAGGGTTGGGATGTTCCCCCATGTACAACATTTCCTTAATAGGGAATGATAGTAGGGGGTACTGGAATCCCTATTCGGCACTGTCAGTATTCGAGGGTTTAGAGCTTGTTTGGTTTTGGGGTTGTTGTCCGGTCTGAATGTCCCATACGTGAGGTAGGCTCCGATTGAGGATGCCCCTTAATAAAAATGCCCTGAACCCTAAACTCCAAGCTCTAGACTCAAACCAGATCCCAAGCCCTAAGCTGCTGCAGGGACCCTAAACACTAAACCCTGAACCCTAAACCCTAAACCCTGAACCCTAGATGGGAAGCCCGTGGTGTGGAGAGATGTTCAGGCGGCTGTCGCTGAGCTCCGGGCAGATGTTGGACCTGACATCGCCACTGAAGGCCTCAACCTTGTGATAGGTTTAGGGTTTAGGGTTCAGGGTTTAGGGTCTAGGGTTTCGGGTTTAAAGTTTAGCGTTGAAGGTTTACTTCTGCAAATTTGGGGCCCTTTTGGGGTCCCTTATATAAGTCGGCACTCTTCCAATGAGCACCCTAAAGGGGCCCCCCTCATTTAGAGAACTACCCTGGTTCGTCTTGCAGCATCTATGCTCGGGGGGGGGGGGGGGGGGGGGGGGGGTGAGGGCCGGTTAGGGTTTAGGGTTTCGGGATTTAGGATTAGGGTTTAGGGGTTTAGGGGTTTAGGGGCTGCACCGTTAGCTACATTCATGCTTCTCGTTACGACGCAGGGTGGTCTTTTGCAGCATTCTCTTGACAGACTTCGCCTGTGCCGGTCTTCCCTGGCACAGGTTTCTGTTTCTTCGACAGGGTCTCAATGTCTCGGTCATTCTACCAGGAACTGATGCAAGATGATCTTAAACCCCCAGCCTCCCAAACCTTCACCCTCTTCCAGTAAACTCTATAAATCCTACAAATCCTAAAAATGCTAAACAAAACTGTAAACCCGATAAACCCTTACAAAACCACAAAAATGCAAGCACAACACCCCCCCGCCCCCCCCCCCCCCAAATCTACTATTGGCTTAAGAACGACCCCAAAAACATTACATAATAATGATCCCTACATTGCCCTTATAAGGAAGAAGATGTTTTTTGTTTGGGGGGGGGGGGGGGGGTGGTTCTTCAGCAATTGGTAGTTCTTGGCTAAATACAACTAACATGGGGGTATTTAATCTTAGGGGAGGGGGGGAGAGGGGTTAATAGTATATAGGGGGAGGGAATAAACCCTAAACCCTAAACCCTAAACATCTCTGGGGCCAGTGGCGCCCAAGTCTGTCTTGATAACCTCCACATCCAAGACCTGAAGCTCGCAGTACAGGTTTTGGGTTTAGGGTCTAGGGTTTGGGTTTAGGGTTTAGGGTTTAGGGTTTAGGGTTTAGGGTTTAGGGTTTAGGGTTTAGGGTTTAGGGTTTAGGGTTTAGGGTTTAGGGTTTAGGGTTCAGGGTTCAGGGTTTGGGGTTTGGGGTTTGGGGTTTGGGGTGTGGGGTTCAGGCTCTAGGGTTTGGGGGTTTCAGGGTTGAGGGTTCAGGGCAGCACCCAAAGGCCACTGCTTCTCGTTTATATATATATATATATATATACAAAACGGGGGACCGTGGGAGTGCGCTTTTTGGCTATTTTCCTTACACGATACATGCTTTTCATACGAAAAAACGCAGAAAACTAGAAAAACTTTACAAAAACTCGGAAAACTAGAAAAGAATGCAAAAACTCGAAAAAACCAAAAAAACAAAAAAAACCAAAAAAAAAAAAAAACAAAAAAAACAAACAAAAAACCAAAAAAAACAAAGAAACCAAAAAAACCAATTTCCAGGGACTCTTCCATCCAGGGCCCAATTTGCAGGAGTCCTGGAAAATTGGTTTTTTTGTTTTTTTTGGGTTTTTTGGTTTTTTTGGTTTTTCAGGGCTGGGTTGCACATCTCCGTGTTGGACCTATCAGCTTATACGTTATCAGCTTGCGCGAGCGATTTTCTTTCATCCGGTGCCACGCAGGGCTGCTTCATCATTCTGGCCGCCGAGCTGCGCCTGGCGCAGAGCATTTATACACTGCCAAGTGTATTAATTCCAGGCTTTTTTGCTGTAACCCAAAATCACGAGTCTTTGTTACATGGCATCAAAACGGTTATTTCTCGAACCGTATCGTTCTACATCTTTCCTAAAATGACCAGAATACAAGGAGCTGGTTACGAGGCTGCAAGGAGTAGAATTCGCGAGGCCACGTGGCGGACATACAGTGAAGGTATCTATTGTGACTAGGTATCACTTCCTCGACGACGCGATGATTCCCAGAAACACGTTTCTAAGGTATGGGGGGGGGGGCCAACTGTAGGCAATACGGATTGCATCAGAATCGGGATGGTGGATCGCTGTGGGCAGGGTTTTTTTTTTTGGGGGGGGTGGGGGGGGGCTCAGGGGATTTCAGGGGTGCATCACATGTTTCAACCTACGCCGGCCGGTGCTCCACCTGCATGCGCGTGCACCCGAGAGCAACTGCTAGCGCAAGCATTGCTGCAAAGACATGCATTGAGTTGCCCAGCTGAGATGTCTTGTAGTCGAAGCTGTCCATGGGCACGCCAGCTGCGGAAGCGGTGGCCTGTAACACAGGCCACCCCATTGCGAGAGCACACTCCCTGTCCAACAGCCATCTCTTCATTGAAGGGCTCCAGAGAATTCCCCCGCTTGCCCGCATCGTGGGCAGGTGCTGGAACATGGCGGGGCGCACGTTGGGGTCCTGCGATAGGTTCATCAGGAGGTCGGGAGGGAAATTTGACACTGCGCCTTTCTTCGCATTTTGCTCTTCCCAAAGCTTATGGTAATCGCGGAGGTACCCAACCTGCTTGGTGGTAAGCAGGTATGACCAGTCAGAGCTTGCGACAGTTAGCGGTCCCAAGCCTCGTTTAAGCCTTGCTTTGTTCTCACACAGCAAACACTCTTCAGCAGTCGCAACCATGCACGCAGACACTCGCGGAAATCCAACTTTCTCCTTGATGTACTTGGAAGCTTCTTGCAGAACGGTCAACATATTGCGGGTGATTTCCACGTCCTTCCGCACTATTATCGCAAAGTGCCGTGGGCGGCCGACGAATACCTGGACTTCGAAATCGACTGGAACCCTGAACCCGTGAACACCTGAAAACCTTTACACAGCCTTAGAATCATAACATTCTGAAATCATAACATTCTGAAAGCAGTTCAGGCACGAACCCGGCATCGGAGGGCTGGATGTGCAAATCGATGACCTTGTATAGTGAACCTATGAGCTCCGGGATGATGTTTTTGTGGAAGCCCAGAACGTTCTCGTGCAGAGCCACCACTGGTTTTGTACACCAGATCCAGCACAAGTAAGCCAAAGTGACGTTGAAACGGACGTCACTTGTTTTCTGTTTTCGGCCAGCTTTGCTCCACGGCTGGCATGGGGAACCTGTAACATTCAAATTTGAACGTCTCTGTTTGCACAAACCGCCGTGCGCTGCACAAGGAAGTTTGATGTCTGGGCGCCACGCCGAGCACAAAGCCGTCCACCTCTCCAAAACTGTTGGACTTGGGCCCAGGCTTGAATCCCAGCCCGGAAAGGCATCAAATATGTTGCGATTGATGCAACAATCGCTTGGCAGCTTCTGCTCCAAAATCGCGCAGCACGCTTTGTTGATCTCGCAAGCCGACACAGATTGCCATCGCTTGGGCCAGCCTAGTGTCGCAGTCAAAGCAGCTTGCAAAATGTCGCAGGCCTGTTCCGGCGACCCGATGCCGGAGCAATGGCTGGAGAACAGGTTGGCATGGTTCAGAAGGCTTTCTCTCCTGAGATGATGTGGGAAAAGGAGGCTAGCTTCTGGCTGTCTAAAAGAAGCATCAGCTATGCAACATGAGAGCTATCTAGCATATATCTTCCACCGACAAAACCCATGCATGCTCCTGATTTGGAGGCCAGTCGCAGCTTCTCAGCACCAAAGGTCTGCTGCAAGAATTCGACCATGAAGACTCCCGCGCGAAATGCGGTGACAAGGGAACTTGTGGAATCTGGTACAGGATTAACACCAGCAATGCGATTGGCAACATCGGCATCAGCCTCAAACGTTGCGAAAGACCCAGCTGACTCTATGCGATTGGCAACATCGGCATCAGCCTCAAACGTTGCGATGTCCATTGAAGACCCTGCTGACTCTCTTTCCCATTGGCACCCGCAGGGAACGTCGCTCGACTCACTGCTGCTGCCCTCGAACATCACACCATCTTCAGCCATCTGCTCACGGCTGCTGCTGCTGCTGCCCTCGAACATGACACCATCTTCAGCCATCTGCACAGACGCTTGCAAAAGCCCTTATAAGTGTATCTTAAGCCCAACACCCTACACCATCGATTTGTGATCGCTTGGCGGAGGTTCGGCAAATTGCAGCCGGGCTAGTGGACGCCTTCAGGGCTTCTAGGGCTTAGGGTTGTACGGAGTTTGGGCTGTGTGCACGTATACGGCGCTCGAAAATGAAGGCCAATATGCATTGAACATCATGGCTTTCAGCCGTCATGGAGCTAGCGCGTCAACACAGAGTTCGGGATCGAAAACAAGGGGGTATTTAAGGCTTCAGGCGCAAGCATCAACTGTGGCCTCCAGCCAACCCTTTCCCTAAGCTCGCTCTCAACCCCACTTGGAGGTTCATGGTACTTATTAACCAACTATAACTGTACTTATAAGCCACTTATAAGCCCCCTAAGTGCCCTTATATGGTTATAAGTACAGTTATAAGTACAGTTATAACGGGTTAATAAGTACCATGAACCTCCAAGCAGACCCTGCCTGAAACCCGTCCAAAAGCAAGCGCATGAAGTCTCAACCGGACCCCGCATACGCCCGAACCCCAGTAAGGCCAGGCCGGCGTCCACGGCCGCCGATCCACCGCAAGTTCGCCTCCGGATAGCGCAGCTGTTGGTACCCTAAACCCTAAACTCTCAACCCTAAACCCTAAACTCTAAACCCTAAACCCTTAACCCTGAACCCTAAACCCTAAACCCAGGTTCAGGGGCGGGTGATTTGCGTAAGAAGGGAGAAGTATCCAGAAATAGGGATCTGTCAGTCTGTCAGTGGAGAGATCCTGTGCTCCAGGCCCGAGCCTGACACTAGCACGCGAGATCAGGCAGGTTGGGAATTCAGGCCAGCAAGCAAAGCGACGTTTTCACCAGCAGACACCCCGCTGCTAGTGGTTGCTTGCCATCTTCACTAGCTAGTGAAACTCAATCTGACTGACCTTTGCCTCGCTTCCGGGAGCCCATATCTGTTGGCGCCGGGATTGCCACTTCTTTCCTTCTTCACTGTCCAACCAATCATCTAGTCGCGCCTGCATTGTCGAGGGAGCTGCTTTGCCCGCACTCTTTCGCTGAACTGACACACCCATGGGCAAAGATTCCACAACTCCCGAGGCCATGGCCTTGCTCCAGGAATGCTCGATAGTCTCAGGCACAGTCGAGGGCAGCCCGCGCGCTAGCGCGGCCTTTCGCAACTCTCGCACAGTACTGCGCGATTGTAGCAGACTCTCGGGCTCGATAAGGGACAAGACCTCTTGGGCGGAGCACCCATCGAAAAGGCTGCTGTGCCAACGGCCGGAATTCTCTATGCGGTCATGGAGCGCTTGCACCTGATTCAGCTCTCTTGGTCGTCCACTTTTTTTCTGCCTGACACGGGTCCGTTGTATGAGCTCGACAACCGCACGAACAAGAAGCTCGTCTCTGGTATGTCCCGTCACTGAGACATAGGCTTGCTGCAACATCACCCGGACCATGAAGGCCCCAGGGGACGGATGCTGGTTATCAGACCACAGGTTGTTCATCATGGAGCCTACTCTCTCCACGGCAGCCTCTGGGGCCGAGAGTAGTCGCCAACGATGATGGACTCTGGTCGCGTGCCAGGCATGAGGAGAGTGCGACTCTCCAAGGCTGAACCAAGGGTCAGTGTCCAGAGATGCTGCTATGCGGGACGGGTCAATCTTGCGCAAAGGTTCTTCAAGAATGACCAGCTTGCCCTTCAGGTCTTGTGGGTTCTGAAGGACGGCCACGCGATACGCATGAAAGGCTGAATCTGCATCAATGTTCCTCCTTCTCTTGCTTGTGGAGGGCCCAGTGTACTTACGCACTGATTCCACACAGACCTCGAATCTCGAGTTGTCCTTTCTCGTGAAGTGCTGCCCGTTCCAAGATCCCAAGAATTGCGACACTCTGCATGCAATGTAAGCCATCGCTGGGCACTTGGCGGGCAGACCGAGTGCCTTGCCCAAAGTCCAACGAAGCCCGGGGAAACTGTTGACTGGACACACCATGTACCCTGAAACAGAGGTCCAGCTCCTGGCGCTGCGCAATGTTTTCGGCGGAACATCGCTCTTGCCCGATCGCGTCTCCAAGCTGTCCTCGTAGCATTGACCTTTGCGCTTAGGGTTTGAGGTCCAGGCTTGGGCTTAGGATACCTAAACCTGACAGCTTGGTCAGCTGAGATTGCGGCGCACTCTCGACACCAGTAGCTCATACTGCTGGTTGAACTCCTGTGTCTGCAGGGACCAGGTCTGGGGCACCTTCTGAAAGGCATCGCCGAGAGGCCATCGTGCCTTGTCTAAGTAAGGCCGGAACAACTTGAGGAGTTTGCCAAAAGATGTGACACATGCTCGCGTTGGCGGTTGAGCCAACAAGCTGGTCCAATCAAACGCCATCTCGCCGGCGTGCAGCAAGGAAAGCATGTGCGTATTCATCCCAACATCTGCGAAGATGTCGCTTACCTCATCCTTAACGTACTTCAAGAAGTCCAGTAGTGCATCAATGGCCTGTACACATGCAACATGGACTTGGAAGACCCCTTGTGGCACTTGACATCGGCTCCAAAGGCAATCGTCTCGCAGCAGCCGCGCTCGAAACATGTTTTTGTAGTCCATACCAAGCACCGGCCTCTGTCCGCAGTCTCTTTTCTGCTGCCTTGGGCAGAAGAAGTTGGCATTTGAGTCGATGTCAAGCATGGTCCACAAAGGCACATGTACTTGCTTCTGCACACGACGGCCCCGTCGAAAAACATAGATTTTGGTCTTGACTGTTCTGCAGTCCGGCACGGCTCGCCGCCTGCCCTTGCGACAATGCTCTTCTTCGGACAGGCACTGGCAATGACTTCCCAAGCTCATGATCCCAGGGCTAGACTTTGCAGTGAACTGCAATTTGCACCCTTGAAACTCCGGAGGAATCTTGTACAGCAGCTTACTGGCATGCAAGATGAAAGATCTGACCGGTTTCCCCCATGATGTGTACCGACATGCACACATCAAGCGCGCCAGCTCTTTGGGGGCACAATGCTGTCTACAGCAGGCCACTGCACCAAGCATGGCTTTCACCTTTTCGAAGGATGCATGGATTGTCCGTAGGGAAGTTTCCATGTTGCGCCTGGCTCGTTCTATCACCGACGCTTCTTCTGCTTTCTGGACAACAAGCGCGAAGGGACGGACAATCTTCAGCAGCGCCACATCGAAACCAACCAAGAAAAAGACGAATGAGGGTTCTTGAATACGTCTGCCGACATCGAAAAGGCTGGTGAGTGACACGTTACCTTTGCCTTCCTTCTTCCAAGCAACTTTGCCATGAAGACACAGAAGAATAATCTGGTAGTTCAAAATCAAACCACCAGGAGCCCCACTCAGGTGCCCGATCTTCCGGGTCCCTCCGGGGCCTCTTAAACCGGCTCCGGTGCCACCAGCTCTCCTCAACAAAGTGAGTCAGTCCAGGTAGCCTAGGGTTTAAATGTATCTCCCGACTGCCCTAACTCGCTAACTCGGTTTGAAGTTCTTTCGAGGGAGACGGGTTCGGGGCCGAGGCTAAACTTTGCTTGGAGCTTCGGAGTTCAGAGCGCCTGCAGGCCCAGCCCCTAAGCCATCCTAAACTGATCGCGCACGAGTGTCCATGTTGCACAAAAAAATACATCCAGAAAAGGCTCTTGCAGGCTGCGCGTTTCATCACCTTGCCCTCCCCGACATTGAACAAGCGATCACACGATGCAGCCACATCGAAGCATTCGCTGGCAGGAGGCGACCGACGCACTGCCCGCATGATTGCGTTGTCAATCCTGCTCCAAGTACTCTTGCCTACTTTCCTTGTAAATAGACACTGAAGATCATGAAAGCTACATTGTTACATTGCTGCAGACGTTAAGCTCTCCCCACACACTGCCTGTGAAAATCATCCCAGCGCGTGCACACAACCAACGAGTTCGCCTCGGCCTCTGGATGCACCTGCTGCCACAGCAGCTCTGCGGCTCCGCTGCTGGAGTGGCGGGCCTGCTGCCCTCCTCTCACTAATTGTCCGTCGCCATCTATCATGGCTAATCGAGCCCTCAACGTGGGCAAGTCCATCATGCTAGGGTGTTGCGACAGCATCTCCAGCAGGAGCCGTGTGATCTCAGGGCCGCTGTGGCTTCCAACTGCCAGCGTTCGGTAGTCCAGCATCGGGGTTAAAAGTGAGCCATCCTCGGCACTGACGATGGTCAAATTGGCAATTAGCATTGTCTCGTTGCGGGGAAACGCGGTGCATTTTCCCAAGGAGACAGGGTCGGCCATCAGCGCAAAATCGGATTCCACGCCCAGCCCTCCAAGAACGGAGGACCAGTCGTTTGCGTTCATCATGTGCAGAACCTGTCCTGCCAGGTACTCTGTCTCTGCGCAGAAATTGCGCCCGTGGCAGTGTGCCCCATCCACATCCACGCCACAAAGCCGCAGCCGTGCTATATCCCTCTCGTAACATGATTTGGACTTCCCTTCGACAGCACAAGCAATGGCAGCGCGGACGCAAACCGCTGCACTCTTCTTCCATCGGGTTTCCTCGCTATCCTTCTCCAGTTCAGGCGATGGCGTGCTTTGCTGTGACTGCGGTTTTGGGTCTGGGTGCAATGCTTCACGATCAATCGGCGACCAAGCATTGCTTTCCACATGCCTCCAGCACCTGGAAACAGTTTGGCGCGAGAGCCCCAACAAGGATGCTGCTAGCACTTCAGCATATGACTTGCCAGTGCTGCACCTGATGTCACTGACCTGGTGGAGGACATCCTTCGTGAGCTGCTTCGGAAGTTTCTTGACGTTTGCAACTGTATTGACTATCAGCACCTGTGCCTGATGGAGAGCAGGGGTCAAGGGACTTATGATCGAGCCACAGTTCATTCCCGGGACCCAGGAATTGGACTGCAAGCTGACATTCTCATGGCCGTCCTCGAACGCCACACCACCAGATGGAGTCTCCATGTCCATCTGCTCAGGGGGCATTTGGAATGTAACGCCCTCTGGTTCAATGCCCTCTGGTTCAGAAGGCTCCGCCCCAATTACCATGACCTCGTCGTCACTCTCATACCACACCAGGCCACAGGGGCTGCCGCACTCTGACTCTCCACCCATGTCGCAGAAACGCGGCCCCTTCAACACAGTGTTAGTTCATTAGTCATCTGCTCTCTGGAAAATAGATGTATGGTTGGGTTCAGGACTGTCGCAAGCCCGCCTATGATGTCACCAAGCACTGCCACATTTCAGCTTACGCGCCACCCCTTCTTTGTCGGTCAGCCTTGACAACACGACATTGTCGGCACACTACATAAACCGAACACACCATCAAGAATGCACCCTAAAAAGCCCCAGGGCCACTCAAGCTCTAAGCTTTCACGCCAACAACTTGAACCCCAAAACCCAAGACACTTTGAACCCTTGAAGGTTTTAGAGCTTCGGGTCTTAGTGGGCTCCAAGGCAAAGTCTTGAACCCTCTGCCCTAAACGGCCCTGGCCCGTTCCGCCTGTCATGCTGCCGATGAGGACGCCGCATCATTTCCTGTTCGCAAGTTCCAGGGTTTTTCGCCGGTGGTCTAGGAAAGGTGTCGAGGATGAGACCTTAAGCTTAAACTATAGGGACTCTAACAATTCTGGCCTAGGTTGAGGGCTTTAGGGTTTAGGGTCTTAATGGCCTCTCCAAGGCAAAGTCTTGAACTCGACGCCCTAAACAGCGCTAAACCTTCAAATTCCACGGCATCATTTCCTGTTCGCAAGTTCCAGGGGGTCTAGGAAAAGTGTCGAGGATGAGACCTAGGAACTCTAGGAACTTGGCGGTCTAGGAACTCAAGTTCTATAGGGCTTCGGGTCAGTCTTGAACCAGGGGTTTGGGCGGGTGGTCAACCCTAAGCCCTTGACACCTCTAAACGTGGCAATTCCATGGCATCATTTCCTGTTCGCAAGTTCCAGCGGTTTGGGCCGGCGGTCATGTGTCGAGGAGCAGACCTGAAACCTAAACCCCAGGAACCCTGGAAACTCTAGCCCTAGGTTTTTGGTTTTAGGGGTTCGGGTCTTAGCGGGCTCCAAGGCAAAGTGTTGCAGCCTGAGCCCCAAACGGCCCTGGCCCGTTCCGCCTGTCATGCTGCCGATGACGACGCCGCGTCATTTCCTGTTCGCAAGTTCCAGGGTTTTGGGCTGGTGGTCTAGGAAAGGTGTCGAGGATGAGACCTTAAGCTTAAACTATAGGGACTCTCACAATTCTAGCCTAGGCTGAAGGCTTTAGGGTTTAGGGTCTTAATGGCCTCTCCAAGGCAAAGTCTTGAACTCGAAGCCCTAAACAGCGCTAAACCTTCAAATTCCATGGCATCATTTCCTGCTCGCAAGTTCCCGGGGTTGGGGCTGGTGGTCTAGGAAAGGTGTCGAGGATGACACCTTAAACCTAAAACCCTACGAACTCGAGGAACTCCAACCTACGGTTAGGCCTGAGGGTCTTCATGGGCTTTGCAGGGCAAAATCTTGAACCCTAAGCCCTAAGCAACCCTAAAACTGGCAATTCCATGGCATCATTTCCTGTACGGAAGTTCCGGGGGTTTGCTGGTGGTCTAGGAAAGGTGTTGAGAATGAGACCTGAAACCCAAAACCCCAGGACCTCTAAGAACTCCAGGCCCCGGGGCTCAGGGTCTTAGTGGGCTCTCAATGGCAAAGTCTTGAAGCTTAAAACCTGAACGGCCCTAAACCTTGAAGGCTTCAGCAATTCCATGGCGGATTCCTGTTCGCAAGTTCCAGGGGTCTAGGAAGGTGTCGAGGCTTTGCGTTTGCAAGCGTTTCTCTCTCTTCCGAAGCGCTGCGCAATCAGAGGATCATGTGTCTTGCGTCCCAAAATGCCTGGCGCGGCTGTGCTTGCGCCGGGCTGGACTTGAAATCACAGGCCGACACTGCATATCTAGATATAAGTACTTCATATTCGAGCTCTCAAACCCAAAGTCCCGACAGTGCCGCAGGCCCTCATTCAGCCACTGGCTTACGAGAGCTCCAATGGGCTCTTGGGCGAAACAATCACTTGCTTCGCAAGCACTACGGCCACTCCGCACGGTGTAAGCTTGGCTTCCCCAGCTTCTTTGAAGACCCAGGTCACTTTGCATTGGCTCATGCTCATGGCCTGCTTCCTCAGATCGCCCAATCGACACTTTCAAGTAGACGCTTCAACCCCCTACCTATACGAATCTTTGAAGCCCCAACCCGAACCCCGCGAACCTTTCTCTATCAGTGCATGTAGTCCAATTAAAACCCTTAGGACTCAGTCAAGGGTCACCACCAACCTGGCATTCTCATCCACGGGATCAAAGACCGTGTCCTTCTTGCACAAGGACGTGGGAGACGCGCCCGGCGGGAAGCTCGCAAGGTTCATCACCTCTTTGATCTTTTTACGGGCGATGAGTCCAGACAATGTCTCGGCTTTCTCGAGGTCTGCCTGAAACTCGCCCGGCTTGTCCTTCTTCGCGGTGACCTTCGTGGCAAAGTGCACCATGCACTTGTCTGTTTTGGGGAACATGTACTGCATTTGGCCGCTCTCGCCATCCTCAGGCTTCTTGATCTTGCCATTCCCGACAAAGAGGAGCACGGTGTTGGGCGTCACTTTCTTGTTGGTCTTCACGTCCTCCAGCGCCTTCAACACCAGCTTAACGCCGTTCTCACCCTTAAGAATGCCAAATTCGCAGGTGTCCAAGGATGTCAAAGAGATCATGGCCAGGCCCTGGCGCGGAGAGGGTCCAGGCTCCGAACCCGGCTCCTTCGTGGGCTCCGCCTCGTCTGGCCTCTTGTCGTCCTCTTTCTTGGCACCCTCACGCTGGTTCTGGAAGAGCTGATCCAGTCGCCCCTTGAAGCGTTTGGCTGCCTCAAACTCTTCATCCGTTTGCTGCTGCTCGCCGAAGTCATAATCCATCCCGTAGTTGCAGCATAGGAGCGTGCGAGACGAGATTCCCATGTGATTCCGGGTCCGAACTCGAACTGCCACGAGCGTCGGGGACACGCCGTTGCCACACATCGGAACAAGCTCCACAGTCGGGCCTGCAAGCCCGGGGCCATTCATTGAAGCTGTTTTTTTCTTTTCTTTTTTTTTTTTTTTTTTGGGGGGGGGGGGTGATTTTGGAATGGACAGGCGACTCACTAAAACACTAGTCCCAGGTGGCCTCGTTTCGACAAGCCCAGGTAATGCTGCAAGTAGGACGCCGCTCCAACAAGAATTCCATACAAGGTTCCAGTAGCGTTGTTGTCCAGCGGGACGTTCTCCAAGCGGATGAGGCCTGGGAGTTGGGATGTGAGCACCGTGATACCAGAGATTGAGGAAACACCCTAAACGCCCTAAACCCTAAACCCTAAACCCCAAACCCTAAACCCTGAACCCTAAACCCTGAACCGTAAACCCTAAACCCTAAACCCTAACCCTGCTTGATTGAAGCCAAGAAGCGGTCTAGCAGGGCACTGTACCCGGGTCGGGCGAGGAACTTTTTCAAGAGGCTCAAGTCGTCGAACCAAAGGGCGGTGGCATAGAGAATAATGTCCCCATCTCTGTACCCTTTGGTGGTCTCCAGGCCTTTGCCGAACTTGGTCTCTGCGAGGGCCAAGTCATGCTCCCCGAGCTCCTTGTGCAGGAGATGGATGCATCTCTGGTCCAGATTGTCTGGGCAGGAGTTCAGCCCAGAAGGCCACGCAGCCCCATCCACGGACACCTCTTTCACAAGCGTCAGCTCACCATCCGGGACAATGGCTGTGATGAAGGACAGCTCACCATGAGCAGCAGCACGCTTCACACCGTGCTGCTTGTGGCTCTCTGCAAGGAATCTTTGCGTGCTCATCTGTCGCAGCAGCTCAACAGCATGTCCCTGGGAGTGCGTGGAGGCGGACTCCACCAAGCTGAAAACTTCAAGCCCGCAAAGACGGCCCTCAATCGCAGCGAAAACAGTATTTAGGGTTCGGGATTTAGGGTTTAGGGTTTGGGGTGTAGGGCTTAGGGTTTAGGGTTTAGGTTTTTTGGGTTCAGGGTTTCGCAAACCCTTGACAAAGAGATGACGATTCATAAGACTGAGACATGGAGGCAATAAGGATGAGCTACAACTTGCTGGGAAGTCAAGCTGCTGCGGCCACGAGTCCAGGATGGGCGGAACGACTGGCGCACACCAGGTACTTGGCACTGCTAGCGTGGGCCACCTGGTCCAAAACCACTCGCCAGTGCTGCAATGGCTTTGCAAAGGGCCAAAGAGCAACGGTGTACTCCTTCTTCTTCTTGCCACTGCCGCCATCTGCAGCTGCTGGCTCCTCCACAGCCTCCACGGCTTCGCCGTCCGACTCCTGCACATCCATATCAGTATTGATATCCTCCTCCATATCTTCGGGGCAAATCTCCTCATTCAAGTCGGCTTCATCTTTGCTCGCGGGGGCAGCTCGATAGCAGCATGTACGGCTCTTGCAAACCATGCGAAGCCCTTCCCACGCCGAGGCCTTCACGCTGTTGGCTTTGATCATCACTGGCACGTTCTCCTTGGCCGACGTGCCCGGAATGTACACCAGATAGCTGGGGACCCGCTTCTGCGACTGCCTCAACCGATCGTACTTTTTTTGGGGATGCTGGGGTGGGGGGGAAGGCCGAGCCGGGCACGCATAACTTAGGGACCTCAACCCGAAACCCTAATCCCTGCTAAACCCTGTATCAACCCCCAGGTCGTGTCAACCGAACCGTGTAACCTTGTAGGTCCGATTGTCATGTCCAGGATGACCAGTTTTGTTCGTCAATGCGCAATTGCAGCTTAAGCACGAATCGCTGGCACAGGATGCCACGACGAAGACCTTCTGCTTGGGGAACAGCATCTCGGCCTTCTGCGAGACACTGCTCAAAAGATCGAGCCGCTTTCCAACTGGCACTAAGATGTTCACACTCTCGGGCTGCATGAGGTTTTTCACGGTGTCGGCCATGAAGGTCATCTGCTCTATCACATGCTTGAGCTTGCTCGTGCAGGAATCCACGACGGCGATCACCTTGGAGCCAGCGAAGCAGTGAAGCTTCAGCTCCTCCAGCCAGGCCTTCCGGTCGAAATGGACAGTGGCCTTCACAAGGTCTGCTGCGGCATCCCGCTCTGCTTTCTCCAGCAACGGGTCCACAGCCTTGGCCTCATCAGCGGCATCCATGATGACGTCGTCATTGTGAACCTCCACATCACCAGACGGTTCATCCGTCTTTGAGGCAGTTGTCCCCGCTGGCACGGAGGCTTCTGCTTGGGCCTCACGACCTGCGCCTGCACTCGCCTTCAGCATCTCCTTCAGCTGCTCGGTCATGCCCTTGAGCTCTTGCAGCGTGCTGATGGACACCTCAGCAGGACAAGAAGAAACAAACCCTAAACCCTAAACCCTCTAAACCCTAACCCCAAACCCTAAACCCTAAACCCCAAACCCCAAACCCTAAACCCTAAACCCTCAAGACCAGGATAAATGGAATTGAATGTGATTCATTACGAGCAGCTCGCACAATAACCTGCTTCACAACTCCAGCCCTCCAGCCCTTCCGGCCCCTCCAGCTCCTCCAGCCGCTCCCCTCCCCCACTCCCCCAAGCCCTCTTCTGGCCCAAGTCCAGGTTTCGGGGCTCGAAACCCCCAACCTGGGCCACTTCCAGCACTTTTGACAACCCCCCATAAAGCACGACATGCTTCGGCGTTCAAGCCCCCCCCCCCCATAAAGCACCACGTGCTTCTCCCACCACTCACCCCCTCCCACACAACCCGCCTCATCCAGCCCCTCCCGCCCCTCCCTAACATTGTTGGGATACCCGCGGCGTACGCGGCGGGCATATCCGCGATGTCCGCAAAGATTTTCCTTTCCTTACTTGACACGCAGCCTCCACTGCGACTCATTCCCCCCCACACCCCCCAACCCACAGTGCCGCAGCCTACCAGCCCTACCCTCAGCCCCAGCCCCAGTGCCAGCCCAGCCCCAAAGTCAAAATCACAGAAGCCCCAAAACCACCCCAAAACCTCAAAACTCCGGACACAAACCCTTTACAATTTCTATAAACCCTAAACCTAGCCCCTAAACCCTAACTCATAAACCCAAACCCGAAACCCTACCAAAAGCCGTAAAAGCGGACGAGACCGTGACAGCCCACAACCCCTAGAAGCGGACGAGACCGTGAGAAGAGGACGAGACCGTAACCCTCAACCCTAAACCCTGAGCCCTAATATCCTTTCAATATCCTTTTTGCATCCGGGCTATGATGTCCTGGCCGGAAAGTCCTAGCAACACTCTCAGACCCTCGTGGTCCTAATGCCCTAAACCCTAAACCCTAAACCCTAAACCCTAAACCCTAAACCCTAAACCCTGAGCTTGTTGACTTACAGTATCTCCAAAAGGAAGCTGGGAGCGGCACCTTCTCGCTCAAGCACTTCAACACAGCCTTGCGGCCCTTGTCTGTCCGCAGCCAAGCAGAAACACGCCTTCGTGTCAGAGCTCATCACTTCAAGACTTTACCGTGTCACTGCTCATACTAACCTCATGTGACGACCCCGATGCGCCAGCTGCAGACGAGACACTGAAAGCTGCCGGATGACTCTGCAACCTTCTTGAAGTTGCTCATTTGCTGCTTGCACCATGTCTCTCCGGCCTTCAAGGGCCTGCAAAAGTCGCTGGCAAACTGCGCGGCTGTGACGCCTCTGGCGGATGGGTCAGGCTGCCCGTCCAAGTGGTCACACAAGAGCTCGAAAGCAGCGATGGCCCACACTGGGCCCAATCTGAACTTTGATGCCTCTCCAACGCCAGTCATGTAGCGATTGTCAAAGACCTGGTGTTGGTGCAGGCCGAAGCTCTGGCAACCCTGTAACTATGATAACCATACAAAGTGCACACCTCAGTGCGTACGAAAAGCATAGCCCTGTGGCATGAAGCCGCGCCGTTCATCGAACTTGACCCTGACTTGCTCCGGCAGCACGTCTCTCATGTGGGCCCAACGCCAGAAAGTTGCCTTTTTGCTGGCACCAAATTGGTCCGTGAGCAGCTTTACGGCCGCGTCGAGGGTCCCGCCGGCCACTCTTGCCTGCGCAGCAACCACGATGTCGTATTTCGATTGCAAGCTGGTTTGTTGGAACGTGTTCGAGACGGACTCTGCATCGTGCTGGACACCCATGTGCATGAGAATGTCCTGGGCGTCGGTGGAATCATACTCTACCAGCTGGCACATCAGGCCAACCGTAACGACCAGCTTGCCTTCTGCACCAAGGCAGTCAAGCGAGCCATCGCCTGCTGCGGCTGCAATCGTCTCTGGTGTGGTCAGCGCTTGTTTCTCCAGGTACGTGGCCCAGGCTCGGACGCAATGCTTGCCGTTGCCCAACCTCCACAATGAATCCTTCTGGCTCGGAACCGGTTGGAGGCCAGAGACACTCGAAGTGACCAGTAAAGAAGGTGGCGCCAGGTTGCTCTTGCCCCACTGGCCTTTCACGATCTCCTCGTACAGGTCATCGACACGGGATTGTGTCAAAGCCCTCCACCCACTATCATCCTCAACAGGTGCTGACAACACGTCTCCGTGACATCAGAAGTGCTTTGTTAGAAGTCAAAACGAAAGCCTAACCCCACATCGCACGAGGCAAGTCAACATCGGTCCTGCAAGGAAATTTCGGTGAGAGGGACACGCCTGGACTCGTGCGTGATGGCCATTGCGTCGCCAGGGCTGATGCTACCCTGGGGCCCTGCTTCACCATTGAATTTCGCGTCTGGCGCGGGGAGAGTTGTCACTCATCTTCGCGGTTTCCGAGCGTCAACCTGCAATATACACCGTCCGAGCAGGACGGTGGATACTGCGACTATTATGTCATGAACCTGCACAATGGCATGGTGGGCCAGGGCATGTAAATCAAATTGTGGGGATGTTGCTCCACTGCCGGGGCTGGCGGTTCCGAAGCCCGACTATCGGCCGTCCAGACTGGACGGGGCATACTTGGGGTTCCGAACCCAGCACCGGGACTACAACTCTAAAAGCTCCCCACGAACTCAAAGGCAGAAGCCCCAAACCCGGTACTATAAACCTTAAAGTTTCAAAGGATAAAGTTCGAGCGTGAAAGCCTGAACCCTTGAAACCCCAAATCCTATAAAAACCCGTAAACGGTAATCCTTGGCGCCGTCTTCCCTCCGCTCCGCCTGGGGCCATGTGGTGAAGCAGATCCCGCCGAAGGGCCAGATGAGCACCTTCAGATTGACAAGAGGGCTGAGGCTTTTCAGGGAGATTTCGGGTTTGGGGTTTAGCAGGATTTAGGGGCCCTAAAACCCTAAAACCCTTAAATCCTTCTTCACCCTATCAACCCCGCAACCCCAATCCCCAAAAGCCCGTAGATCCCGCCGACGGAGGTTCATGGTACTTACTAACCAATTATAACTGTACTTATAACCCTACTTATAATACCCCTAGAGGGCCTTATAGGGGTTATCCCAGTTCTAATAAGCCCAGTTATAATTGGTTGGTAGGTACCATGAACCTCCAAGTAGAGGAGCACCTTCAGGTTGATAAGAGGGCTGAGGCTTTTGAGGGAGTTTTCGGCTCTTCACCCTATCAAGCCCCCAACCCCAATCCCCAAAAGCCCGTAGATCCCGCCGAAGGGCTGAGGCTTTTGAGGGAGTTTTCGGGTTTGGGGTTTAGCAGGGTTTAGGGGGCCCTAAAACCCTTAAATCCCTTTTTGCCCTAGCAACCCTTGAACCCCAAAACCCAAAAGCCCGTAGATCTTTGGGGTTTAGCAGGGTTTAAGGGGCCCTAAAACCCTAAAACCCTTATCTCCCTTTTGCCCTATCAACCCTTCAACCCCAAAACCCAAAAGCCCGTAG